GCAGTCCAAATCGCCTTCACAGATTTTATTGATTCCCGTCCGACTGGTTTTTTTAGTAAAGGGATCAATGAACTACCTATGAGATGGCAAAAGTGCATAGAAAACAATGGTTCATACTTTGATTAATTAAATATATTATATTTAAAAATATTCGACTTTTTGTTCCTCCCATACAAAACGCCAATTTCATATGTAAGGACCTAATATATTACCGGCGCAATGTCAGGTACCATTGTTGATAAAAATCCAGCACGAAAGAACTAAAACGTGGTTAGTTAAAAGTGTATTACCTAGGGCAGGGCTCAAACGATGGCTTACAGAGCACCCCCAGTGGGCCCGTTTAGTTCGCGCGATGACGTTTATGGCAGCACCGGACTGCGCTGAACGTAAATATGATATACCACCGAACGCCGGAGGTTTTAACAAATAAAACTGTAGCGCAAATAACGGTTCAGTTATTTGACTCGATTGACAATTTTAGCCTTTACATAGATACGTATACCGGGTATAGACCAGATTGTAAAAAAAAATAAGCGTTGATACTGTTTATATCCTTAAACTGTTGGCTTTCTTTCTAAAACAGAATAACACAATTAAAATTGTCAGAATATACAAGTCTGAAAAATAAAACCGCTTAAAGTTCAAATTGAGATACTTACATAATACATTTATAAGTATTTTATTTTAATTTAAATTTGTTTTATTGTATTTTGTTAATATCATGCTTCACCATGATTTCGGCGTGGTCTGGAAAGTATTTGCACTTAAAAGCGAAATACCTAAAAGCGACTAAAGTAGATATACGTTTAAATAACACTTCCTAATATATTATGTATAAATGAGAATTCAGTGCATTATTTCTATAACGCGACATTTCGATTATTTTTCAGAAAACAGGGTCAGCATGGACAGTCGACGACTTCGCACTCATGTGTATTAAATTTTATACAATATAAAGTTTTTTTTATATATTGTGTAATTTGTTAGCAGTGTTGCTTAAGCGAGCGACGATCATCCCCGGGGGCGTGCGTTCGAATCATGGCTGTGCACTTTGAAATTTTTTTGTATAAAAAAATATATATATTTGTGTTTATTCATTATAAGTATGCATACAATTTGTAAGATTTGGGAACCCTTTTATGTAAAAAAAACTGCTATATAAACTTAATACTTGACTCCAATACAAAATTAATTAATTAAAAAAAATTATGCAACTTTGAAATTTTTATAACTGTTTAAAACAATTTCTTAATTTTTTTTAACAAACACGACGCTTGACTGCAATGTGTATGAATGTCTATGTGCGAAATAAGCACTTGCTGCTACGGTAAAAGCAAAGGTCATGTAAAAAAAATCAATGACATGTAACTCAGAAAACTCGTACTTGTCTATAAAATGAAAATGATCAAAGAAACTGATGCAATCTGAGACCCAATTAGGGTTGTAGCCACTGGATTTAATATTATTTAAAGTTTTATCTAACAAAATATGCAAAGAAAAACCATCGCTATCTTAAATGTTCAGTCTGAACAACGTAAGAACATTTGTTTACGTGCATTATAATTTTGTTGCACAAGTTTTTCCTCGCGGTCTTAACCAACTACCTACTTTAGTGGAACTTTAATCAAGTTTTGTTTATGCAGTCTCCGGTAGACTCATTAGGCGGGGCGATTAAGCTTTTTGCTTCGAAGTAGCCTTTTAATTACAAGGCGTAATTACTTAGTACGTTTGTAAGTTGCGGAGTTTGCATAATAGGTTTAAATAATACTCTTTGTTATATTGCTTGTTACCTGGCAAATGTGCTTGGATAATGTATCGAAATTTGAGTATTGCTTGCAATATATGTATTTTCTAAACTTATATGTCGAAGTATGTTTTGTTGAATCACTCGAACTAACTCGACCCGATAACTTCTTTTTTGTGTAAAACATCAATTTATCGAAGTTACGCTACGACGAAATCAATGCGGGAAAAACTGGTATCACTTTCATGAGAATAACACAAAAGTAAGCGAATAGTGGATATTCTTGTCTACTGATGACCTAACTCAGTAAATTTGAAAGTGCAATTATACTTAAACTAAATAAAGTAATTAGTACCTGTATAGGTACTACAGCGATTGAATTGATGCGGCTGATAAATTAACGTAAGACAGATTTGTTAAGATTCTTATATCTTTTTTTAATTCTACGTGAATCAATTAGTGTTTTGAGATTTTTTATTAAAGTACGGCTATATTAATATTCGAATCCCAGCCTTGCACCAATGTCATTTGCTTGCAATGTGTGATAATTTCACTTGCTGTACGGTAAAATCAAACATCGAGAGAAAACCGGTTTCGAACCCAAAACGACGTCACAAAAGCCAAGGCCAATCATAAGTCAAGGTCCAATGTCCACAATATATAAGTCAGGTTGCGGCGCCATTGCTTTATTATTATACCTACTAGCGACCCGCCCCGCCTTCGCACGGGTGCAATGCTGATACTAAATACACTTCAGAAAAATCTACTATCACACAATTATTTATCGTAACTTACTTATAAGATGTGTTATATATAATGTGTACAATACTTAGTACATTATTTTGCTAAATCTCGTAGGGTTCAGCCTGCGTTTGCAATGTAAGCGGAAAAAATGTAATTATTAATTAATTTTATAGTAATTAATTAATTATAGTAATTATTATCACATTCGAAACCTCAAAATAACAGTATTTCTCCACTATTTAATGGATGTTATTATACATATAAACCTTCCTCTTCAATCACTCTATCTATTAAAAAAAACGCATCAAAATCCGTTGCGTAGTTTTAAAGATTTAAGGATACATAGGGATATTTTAAAATACTTTGTTTTATACTATGTAGTGATTAAAGAAATAATGAATAAAACGTTTGATTGTTTAGGTAATTGCGTAAAAGATTAAAATCGAACACTTTAATCCTCGTACAATTTCAAAACCGTTAATATCGTCTGAAGACTGAAAAATAGTTCGTTCTTCCATATAATCGAATTCCTTCCGTGACACTATGCATTTTAAATTGTGCAATTGCGTCAACTTGAAAACGCTATAAAATTTATAAAAGCATACCCTTGGCAACCATATTGTACCACTGTAGATCTTAAAGCGATCTTTACGCGAATTGCCAGAATATTTGAATTCTAGGGAGGATATTTCAAATGATATAAAAATGTTTTAAGTTCTCAACAAAGAGGAACTTCTACATTTGTCATCGTATGCCTCTGGAGCTGTCGAATTGAGGAGAAATTTTCTTCTTTATCTATATGTCGAAGATAATACGATGTCATTTAAATTTCAAATGTTCTCTGATCGGCGCCTGTACCGGACGTACTAATCATTTGGAATGTAAACATATATCTTATTTGAAGCTATTTGTTTACTGTAGTACATTTCACTTATTTGTAAGTGTTAGTTCAAAAGAAGCCGTCCAACGCACGGCATGCAAACCCAAACCCAAGTTCATGAACTACTAGAATAAAAACTTAAATGTTTACATACATTTATTCTCATATACCTTACCGATTTTCAAAAAAATCCTAAATTCTAGAGCCAATAAAAATAAGACGTCCAAAATTCGTTATTTGAACGTGCACTCGCCTCAGTTTCCTCATGCAATATTGATACAGCAACTTCCAACTACCAATTTCTATTTAAAACCCTTTGAAGACAGCTAGAAGAGGAATTATTCATGACCCTTATTTTAAGGTTCGGAGGTATAATGGCGATAATTCTAAAGGTTATAAGAAGAATAAAAATTGACGCCTGCAGGAAAATTATGATGTTTATTTTTTAGGTTTATAAGAACTTTAATTGATGTTTTCACTCGGAACTAATACTGATTAAGCTTATCATACGTTATATTTATGTACTTATTTCAAAAGTATTAATGTTAGGTAATATCTTTGTTTCAATTCATATACCTATATATATACATATACAATAATACTAGAATATCTAATACAAATCTTATCTGAAGCTGTAAATAATTACTGTGAAACTAAAACAATTTTTCTCTCCAGGGGCTCGCTATATCAGCCCTCGATAATATCAAAAATGACTTTTGCAGTTGTTTTCTGCCGTATTTTTAATATAATATTTTAAATTGATTTTCTATGCTACTCTATATATTTACAAAAAAAATAAAGTTTAAAATTAATCAACGTTATTTATTTGAGACAGTGATCGTAGACAATAATTGTCTCCGAACCGAAGAGCTGTACAAATGTTGACTCGACTGTAATTAAACTGATATTGCTTGAAAAATACACACCAGTTAACGGAGTTTATTTTTATTACACTGCCTTAATAGTCCAGTGGTTAGTACGTTCAACTGCAACTTTGGCTTCCAATCCTGGCTTTTCAATATATTTCAATATGTGTCTTAAAGATACAACAGGAATTAATAGTAAAATAGTTTATGTCAAATACGGCGAATGAATTTATTAAATTAAATTTTAATTAAATATTTAAAATTTAAACTAATTAGAAAATACCCTTATAATAATAACGATTAAAAACAAACACTTTTAACTAGGAATAAAGTCCCTGGAGAGTATGGGAGACAGCAGCAGCTGGCAGGAAGAACATCGAATAAAGCAGTATAAGATTAGGACAATTAATTTTGATAAAAATATTTTAGAAGTAATAGAAGGCAATAGAATATTAAAGGTGAGAGAAAGTACAATAAAATATTAAAAAAAAGATAAAATTTAGAAAGCTATAGAATGGTATCTATTGTTACTTATTGTTAGTTTTTCATGTTATCTTTAATTAGTTATAAAGTATGTTACATTGTAGAATAGATAGGACTACATTTTAGTTTCTATGAAATAAGCCATATAAAATAGTTTTTATTTTTATTATGGACTCTTTTGATGTTACATATATTTTCACTTGAAATTCACATCTTTCAACTTATCACCGGCAGCGATATTATAACAATAACGTATCACAGTTCCATTTCACTAAGACATATTTTAAGTAATACATTCCTTATGTTCCAGAAGGCTCTGGATTACCTCACTAGGAACTACTGTATGAAGTATATCGTTGGATTCTTGGGGCTTTTGAATTAATACCAGCCTTACATTTAAATTAGCTTGACTCTCCGGTTGAGGTTCTACACTTTCTGCTTTATTCTTATCTAAGTAATTTTCTTCTATACTCTGTAACGTTCTATTTTTTGTCTCGGGAACAAATTTCCATACCCAAATTAGGCATACACTTAATGTTACTGAATACAAAAGAAAGGTTCCGTGTAGTTTCAAGTACATAACCAAGTAGGGAGCTATTTTGAGAGTAAAACTATAGGAAGAACATATAATTATAACCATCAATGAACCGCCTATACCTCTATGTTGTATAGGCATTATTTCTGATGACATGACATAAGGTGTAGTGTAAATTCCTAAACTAGAAGCTATCATAAATCCTATTAAAAAGTACAAACATAATAGCGAATCATCCGATACTATTTCCAGGAATTGTAGGTATGACACAATCGACGATGCTAGAAGAAATACAGCACTTCCTATACCACTAAACAATAACACAGGTTTGTTATTAAAATACTTAAAGAATATGTACGCTGTAGCATTGCCTAATAGCGTGACACAGTCCATTACAACCATCCCTATATAAGCGGACTCCTCATCTTTAGTCACGTTCTCCACCATATTCATAGCATACACAAGAAACACTAAATTCCCGCTCCAATAATAAACAGATAATAATATAAACATATGAAAACTTGGCAAATAAAAGTCTCTGCTCGTGATTTTACCCCAAACTTCTTTAAGCGCTTCAATTGTATTAGTTTTCTTTGGTTTGTTATTTATATTACCTATTTGAGAATTCAACAGGGCATTCATTTCTGTGATTGCATCTTCATCTGCTCCACGCAGCCATATAAAGGATTTCTTACACTCATCAAACCGGCCCTTTAAAGCTAACCACGCTGGTGACTCTGGCCAAGAACAGCTCAGTAAGAAACCAATTGCAATTGGCATGATCATGGTCAAACTAATGGTTTTCCAATGAAAAAACTTGCCCATAACATGTACGAGAGTCACCCCAACAGTTTGATTTATATTATAGAACAGCATTAGAATATTTCGGTATTTTGGATCAACCATTTCACCGATTGTCAAATAGCTGACAACTAAGAGGCTTTTAGCGCCAAGGCCTTGGAAGGACTCCCCAACGATGATTGTTGTCGCGTTTCTTGCAAAGTATATGATGATCCAGCCGAGAATGACAAGGAGGCAGCAAATGTGGAAGCCAAACTTTCTTCCATGTTGTTGCATGATATAGGGAATGAAAAGACTTGGAACACCAGCTAATCCATGTACCGATGCTGAAATAGAAAAATATGACATTTTTTAACATACTATTTTTGAATAAAACAGAATCTCATAATGAATCTGCAGCAATTTAAAAAAAAAATTAGTAATTATTTTAGAATACCATTCTGATATAGATTTTTTAATAATAGTGTAAGGTGTTCTGTACAATTTGAACCCTCGTATTAATAATAGTGATTTCTTTTATAAAATTTCATTTTCCGAGAACTACTACATACATTCTGTCATTTTTATTGCGCATCCACCCGAATGTGAAAATGACATCCTTGTTAACCGAAAGCGATAATGTTTTAATTGCGTTTACGTTTATCGAATTTGAATGATGCAATTTTTTGTAACGAAATGAATGATTTTCTAATAATTTCAACTTACATAAAAACGAGACAGTTATAATTATAGATTATCTATGCAACTTTATTAAACATCCAAAAAGACTGAATAAGATACATATAATTGTTTTTAAAAACATTGCATATCTCAAAATTTAACGAATAAGTAATTGAACCGATTATTTTAATTTTATTTATTAAAGAAAAAGCCCACAGGAGTTGCTATACCAGTTCTTCACTATACTTTATATATACTATCCTATCACTAGAAAATATTTACATTAAAACTCCCTTAATCACTAGTATGTTTAACAAATTAACAATGAAACTAGGGACAGGGAACAATAAGGAATACCTATAAAACTAAATCATATACGGCGGACAGAGACGGAAATATATTAAAGACAAGTAGTCACAGGAATTAAAAAACGAAGGCAACACTAATAATGGCACAGGATTTCAGGATTACACGTAGAGATAGGAAGGTAGAACGTTAAAGCCAGTCAAAGACAATGACTGATATGAATATTGTCGTCTAGTGACAGGAAGGCAGAGACTGGATCTGATTTTTGACAAACAAAATACGATATGTAGATACATTATTAAAGATAATAACTTCATAGATCAGTTTGTTAGGATAAACCGTATAATTTCGTCATTAAAGTCTACGTTGTAAGGGTTTCTGCATGGTTCGACCGCTCAATCGAAATAAGGACCTGTTTTTTCAATACCACTGTATGGTATCAAGGGACTGGACAGCTTGGACTTTTTCCCACGACTAGCACAAGGTGTCTTCTGGGAGACTCGGACCTCGGCTTGGGCCGTGAGGTATCGCTTGTAATCGCTGGTAATCGCCTGAAGGGCAGGACGGAACCTCACTGGAGTGAGTGAAAAACGAAGTATCTAACCCTCCCCGGTGAATGCGTTTTTTAACTCGAGCCTAAATAGGCTTGGCTACGGGATGGCTTTTAATTTGAAGAAAATAAAACTTGAAGCATACCAATCCACGATGCCGTATGGACATCAACAATTATGGAACTATCATTGCTTTTGAACTGCTGCAAGAGAACACTGGGATACCCAATGAGACCGCCCGCCGAGATTGCAGCTAACTGGGGAGATGCCGATACGAATATCTGAAAATTGATATTTTTTCTTATAACATGGTTCATACTTCGGAAATCACGTTAACATATTAATTGTATTTTTAAACTAGGAGATAGTTTAACTAACAACCAAATAACAAGCGCCCCGCCGGGTCTTAGGACGGCAACAAGACCTATGAACCTTGAAAACCTTAAAAAAACTATTTACCGACCTTAACTTTCCTCATGAATAATTCTAGATATTAATGGAATAAATTATGTGTGTAGTTTTGGTGTTTATAGTATACAGAAAATCAAGCTCTATTAATTTTTTTCTTGAACTCCAACATCTCTCATCATGAAGGCAGCGTTCGTAAGAAGCATTTTCGTTCAACTGTTTTTTCTCCGACTTAACATACTTTTATTATCTGTCTACGAGGACTACGATTTAAAATATTACCCCCCCATACAACCTCAAACATTTTACCTATTTATAATATTAATATATTCAATATAAACAAAATAATAAATAATGAAACAAATTCAATTAGTTTTTTAAAGTTTTGGATTTAAAACAACTATGGAGAATAATCCGTGAATTTACAAATTGGGAGTCCTCCCCATGCCCCATTACGGTAACAGAACTTCTCAGGCAATATCTTAGACTTTTTATTAGAATATTGCGTTTGTACTGTATTTTTTATACATACTATATTTCTGTTCAACTAGTATGCTATGGAAAAATTTGTCATAAATCATTTATATTCATGACACATCGATCAAAATGGTTGTGATAAAATTAGCTATATATAACTCAGATACCGTCATTTATTAATAGGATTTTGTGTCAATAAATTGACTATAATTATTATAAACATAATAGCTATCATATTAAATATTGAGTAAAACAATCAAATTTTACAAACTACCGATACACTTTATTAAAAATATATCACGAGTCAGTTATTTTTAGACGTAAGGGGGACCATATCGTCATTAGTTGTTTTACGGTTAATTAAAATAAAATGACTTTACTATATTTTTGTGTTTTTAAAAGTAACGTAAATGTTAAAAGTAAAGGATTTATAATCGTATTATAGTTATTATTTATTTGGAACGGGTTCGATTCCGAGGCGCAACAAAGCAGCAGTTTCATTTGAGTAAACTTGCTATCTTCTGTAGTAAGGGCAAGTAGAAAGACGTCATTATATCTCTGTTTATTTCAGAAACAACGGGTTATTTTTATTATAATATTCAATGTGCATGTTTGATAAGAGCATTATTACCCAAAAAGCAAATAAATTGATGTTAACTTATGTAATAAGATACATTTAAAACACCTGATAAGTAATTTAAAAAAAATGTAACATGTTTTTAACATCATTAGTATTCAATGTTGTTTATTATGAATTACCGTTTACTTCTGCCAGTAGTTCAGTAAAAAGGTATTTCATCATAGTGTATGCTTCCTTCAATAATTCGAGCAATGTTCTATTTATATATTAATCTACCACTACAGATTATTAAATGTATTTTGAGAATCATTTAATTTATTCTTAATAAAAGAATATGAATTAATATTAGTATTTAATATCCATAAAAACACTTATAAGAAACAATAAACATTTTAAGAAAATCTAGAGGCAATGTTGCATTTACACTGAATCTTTGAATTTTTAGGTAATGTTTGAATTTTTAGTAATAATAATATTTGGTAGTCAATGTTAGCAAGTCAGTCAAGATAGCAAGTCAGTTAAGATCCTATGGCTTATGTATTTTAAAAACTTATTTTTATGCCAACATGGCATGTTAACTACCAACCAGAACTACCAAAACAGTTTAGCGACTTCTTCCGTGAAGCAGTGGAGACTGCGGAACAGTTCTCGAACTGTACCTTTTTTAACAATGCAAGATTGTAGACATATGAGTACTGGCCGAGGTTTTTAAGTATACTATGGAGTTGTTGAATAAATATATCGTGTCTATTCGATAAGGTCAGGTATTTGTGGTAACTTGTTACTATGACCTTAGATGGAACGAGTTTCCTATTACTTTTCACTTCCATAGTATATCAATAAAAGTGATTTATGTTGTTTCTATTTTACGAAACCTTCCATTCTAGAGGTAGAAGAAAAATTGGCTATGGGTATTGCGATTATGATTGTTGCTGCATCCGACACAAAACAAGACATGAAACTGACGTTAAAGTCCAGGTATGAAGAGACGCCACAAGAAGAGAAAAGTTTTATAAACTGTCATTAATATTTATTAATAAATGAAAATATTTCATCACAGTAATAAAAAAATACCTAATCGTAGTTTTTGTGAACATAGTAGTTACTACATATTTTAAATTACCGAATAACTTGTAACACATTCGCAGTCATTCGAGCGTACTATTCATAATTAACATTGTACGTGTATAGTGATAAGCAATTTCATAAGAACAGTTGATGGGATATCAATAAAATTAAAAAAGAACACTTATTAATTTGTAACAATCTTCCATATTTAAATTACTAAACTCGTACTTACTTGTTTTAATATCGGTGACATGTTTTAAATCACTTTAACAATTTATAAACGATAAAATCTTTCTTCACATTTAACATCCATACACTGTACACAACTTTGTTAGAATGTACATCGCCGAGCTGACATTGGAAACCTATGGCAGCACGCAGAAATACGTACCGAAACACAAAGCCTTAAGAATTATAATCAGTCACACGTACACTACATTCATCAAAGTATCGGAAAAAAACGTCCGATCCATAAAAGGTTGTACTAAAAACTAGTGCTTATTGAATTATCATTAGACTGAGAATATTATTAGAATCTGAGCATTAAGGTTTTTTTTATTCCGTCACATTCTGGGAAGGTATTTTTTTTTTATTCCGTCACATTCTGTCTGTGTATGTACTTCAAAGAATTTCTTCTATGCGTTTGGGTTGGCACCCTGGATGATTTAGATTTAAAAATCAGCCTGGCAGAAGGCGCTGCAGTCGGTACTTCCATACATTGTTTAATATCCTAATCGCTTAAAATATTATGCAGGACAACGTCAGTCCGGTCCGCTGGTACTATTAAAATTACATTTTTAACTTTTTAGAACATTTTAAAGTCGGTTATTTTTCGTGCTTTAGAGTAAATGAGAGATCTTACTATAAGAACATTTTGTTAAGATCGACATCAAATTGGTTTAACCCGATGTATTCGAATTCCAGGCGCATGATTTCCAACTTCAAAGTAATCAGTGAAATAATCTTTTATTTTATTTTTGATCGCAACACATAGTAAAATGAGGAAAATCAGATTTTGAAGTGAATCTTCTTTAGGCGCATGAGGGTAAAATTTTTACGGATGAAACGCAATAATAATAATATTACCGTCAAGAAGATGTGCAGCGTTTTTGTCGAAGAAAATGGAGAGAGCGATTGAGACCGATTGAGAGAGAGTGAGAAGGGCGAATTACCTATTTTTAAAATTAAAATTTTGTAAAGAGAATTTATGAAATATTAGTATTTTATATGTTATGCAATATAATTTATTGAAATCTCAAATGACGAATTGTAAATTAAAATGCTACGTGTTTTTATTATCGAAGAAATAAATTTAAAAAATTAAATCTATAATTTGTATTCATTTTCGACGCTTTTAATATTTAAATAACGATTAAATTCCTAACATAATATATTCCTTTTCCCCTCCCTCTAAGTCTGGGAAATCTAAAGTTTTAGATTTGTATAAATATTATAAACAAGACTTAAAAATTAGTTTGCCAAAAAAGTTTCACTTCTTACATGTGTACTTTGTATGTACACTCCTTTTTTTTAAAATATATTTTCTAGATAGTTTCCCAACTATATTGTCGTCGGAGGTATTAAATAAGTTACGTAAATAGTTTTGGTATCCCGGATGATTAAACACTACTACCTATTTCTTTTAACCACTTTTTGTGTGACATTTACAGCAAATTCCAGAAAAATGCCTCTTCCAAAAAATTTTTTTTTATAGAACGGGGGGCAAACGGGCAGGAGGCTCACCTGATGTTAAGTGATACCGCCGCCCATGGACACTTTCAATGCCAGAGGGCTCGCGAGTGCGTTGCCGGCCTTTTAAGAATTGGTACGCTCTTTTCTTGAAGGACCCTAAGTCGAATTGGTTCGGGAATACTTCAGTGGGCAGCTGGTTCCACATAGTGGTGGTGCGCGGCAAAAACTGCCTTGAAAAACGCTCAGTTGTGGAACGGCGGACGTCGAGGTGATACGGGTGGAATTTCGTATTCTGCTTCTTAACCTATCGTCTCTGTTACTTTTATTCCCATGGCTTATCCAGTGTTATACCTGTCGTATCCATACATTGGAGAGTCGGTCCGAACATGTAACACTTTTTTTCATCTTTTCAGCTGTATTGCTACAAGGACAGGCAGCTCTTAGTCGAAACCTGAACCTGTAAAGATACAACAAAAATCCACCGTGTCAACATCTGGATAATCAATCCCGTTAGTTTTATTTGTTTAATTATCGAAAAGGCCAAAACAACATTTGGAAGGAATAACTTAGTTATTGCTGTTTACTTATGAAAATATGTTATAGAAAGGATGGAATATAAATATAAATATTTTAATACATGTGAAAATGCCATGAGAACTTAAGAAGGCGCAGTGCCATGCAACTTCCTCACAATCCAGTAGCCCGCAATATCACAGCACAGAACTCACGAGGGATGTCTTTGTATTGAAGAGGTCACATGGGTCCGTCAAGCATCCGCGAAAATACAATATAAATAAATATTATGCAGGAAGGTTTCAATTTCTCTCAGGTTAAGTGTAATCCTCACGTAGGCCTCTGACAGAGGGGCTGTGCATGGGTTGCGGTGTATCATCAGGATAGGCCTCCATGCTATTTGCCCCCTGTTTTATATAAAAAGACGTGAAGACGACGAAAAGAGTGCTGTGTTCTTTTTGTCATTAACATCTCAAACAATGTACGTAGGTTAGTAATAGTTTTTTTTTTGTTATTAATTAATTGATTTAAAATATATGTATTTGTGAAATGATTAAACGTCGCCGGCAATAGTTAAAACAATTTGTGGCACTAATGGTCTTTAAAAAATAAAAGGATTGTATTTGAAAATAGTTGAAATTCAATAATTAGATCGTTACGTGTCTAATTTAAATAATTCTAATTATTTTGTAATATTTACAAAAGAATATTTTTGAGGCAAAAGAAACAAAGATATTTTTTTATTTAATATTAATTAGATAGTTTTCGTTAGCATTCGTTATAAAATTAGTATTAGAATATATAATACAAGTATAATATTAATTATCCTTATCCACATTGTCTAAAATCAAATTATTTAATTACTTAAATACATCGTGTTGAATGCTCGTGTTTGAACAATTTTTACATTAATCGCAAATACAAGTTGGCAATTTTAACTCGTAACATTCCTACATATACCGCCTATAGAGCCACAGCCGGAAAACTATAGGCAAGACAAACAATCCTAAACAATGAAACTCTAAACAAACAGACGGAAATTGCATCCGGAATAAAATACAGCGTGTAAAGACAACTGGGGTGCTTGTGGATTTTGTGTAAATACCTGTGTGTTTGTCTCAAC